CTTTTCCTGGCAACTCTAGTCTTTTGTAGACGCCCTCTATTTTAGTATATAAGCTCGGCAAATAAAGCGAAGATAATAATTGAAGATAGACAGCAGATAGAGAGAGATAATTGAGTCAAGCGAGCGGTAGTGACCGTAAGTAAAGTGCGTGAATCGTTGTGAATTATAGCGAGTGTTTAAGTTAAAATGACTGTGGAAATTCTGTGTATTGCAAAGTTGTATTGAGAAAGAATAAACTAGTTTTATTCAAGAAAGGACTTGTATCGCTGAAGTTCCTCGGGAAGAATTTATACCGGAAATTAACAAACGACCAGATGAAATGCTGTGAATATCCATGACCTATTTTAAAAGTTGATTATTTTTAACCGAAAGTTGATTTACTTGGCTATAAATATGAGATATATTTTGTGTGGGCTTCCTTTGTACTCGATGCTTGTTAAACGCGTGTTTACACAAAACCTTAGAAACAAAAATACCTGGCTTGGTAAATAATGGCTGGGTGGAAAAAAACCAATGCGACAGTAAACTGTTGAAAAACATGTAACATTCAACTGAATGTATATGCACGTATGTAACTTAAAATTTATTCTCCATAAATGGACATAAAAAACCCAAGAAACAAGATAATTAAAAACTGTAAATTTAAAAAGGGGAATAGGGATCGTCAAAAAGTACGGGAACAAGTTGAATCAAAATGCAAAGGTTATATTTTCAAACCTACAACTAGAGACTCTAAAAAAATAAACGAACTAGACTGGAAATAGTGTCTGCATTATTTTCTCAAGCTACAAATCCCTATTTTTACTCCATATTTACAGTATTTATCCATTTTAGTAGAGTCAAAATAGGGATTTGTAACTTGAGAAAATAATGTAGACACTATTTCCAATCTAGTTTGTTTACTTTTTTTTAGAGTCCCTAGTTGTAGGCTTGAAAATATAAACCTTGCACTTTGATTCGATTTATTTCTATACTTTTTTGACAATCCCTATTTCTCTTTTTAAATTAACAATTCTCAATTATCTTGTTCTACATTATTGACATACAGCATACTTGTGACATTGACTTTTTTACGAGTTGTCTGAAATATAAACATGTAGCTTAATATGGGTTTGGCGAAAAACAAACATACTTTAATAAACTAGAATGAACTGATTTATTGAATAAGACTGTGGTTTGCTGCGTTTGATTATTGTATACTTTGGATTTTGTACAAAGCTACTTAAGCCTTAAGGGCTATTTAATCTAGCCATCCATAATTCTGAAATGATAGATTACAGGAAAGACAGCTGGTTAACATCATTCACTACCAATGAATAATGGGATTGATCGTCACATTATAGAGCTCCCACAGCTGAAATGGTGAGCATGTTCAGTTATGCGTTTTGATCCAGCGACCCACAGATTGTGAATCGAACATTTCCTAAACAACGTTTGATTGGAAGCTTTAACAAATTACTTCTTGTTGTGTATGGAGGTAAATTCTACAAAATGTTTTCTGTACTGTGAGTACTTACTTCTATATTGTAGGTACTCTTGTTCTATGTGCTGTGTCTATTCTTTTAGTTTTCAGTAATTGTTTTGCTGTCAGGGTTCCAACAAAATTAAAACAATGAATGCTCTCAGTAAAAATGAAAAAAAAAATCTATTGTTGTTATGCGCTAGTTAAATAGTTTTGAAAGTGAAAAAAATCTCCCTTTTTTTCACTAATATCCATATGTTTAGAGAATTATAGCAGTTTTAGTTTCTTGATATTGTATTTTATCATATGTAATATACAAGTTATTATGGTTTGTATTATTCAAATCCATTGCAAATTTTAACGTAATTCTATATATCAACTGCAGGTCTTCACATAAGACAATCCAAGTCGGACCCACTTCTACAGTTAAAAACACACTTGATTTGCTCTGATTTTGATAATCACAACCTTGAGGAGGTGGCCTTGCTAAAGAACTGGGAAAACTTGTGGGATAAGCAAAGTGCCTATGATCACGGCTCTGACTACAGTTTGGGGGATATAGATGATATGAGTCAAGTGTCGTATGAAAACAACGTGCTTACCATTGAAAATTTAAAGAGTCACTACAACTCATGTTTTTCGTGAGTAAATTTCTTGTATTAATTTCACATGGTAGTTTTAAATGTTTAAGTGGTAATTTACAGACATAAGGAGTGACTGTCTATACAGCCATCACAACTAGTGCAAAAAAGTTTAACATTTTCAAAAAATGAATGAAAAGCATGAGGCATTTTCTGCACTTTTGAACATTTAGTTTTAAATATACATTTTAAAGTAATATCTTAATCACTAATTGTTTTACCTGTAATAGCAGGAAGTATTCTTACTTTTGGAAAATGTTTTGAGTGTATCGTCTACAGGTGAATTAATGATGGCTTATCATTTGGTGCTGCTTGGCTCAGTGGTTTCGCACTTTGAACTTATAGTCAGCTGGTTAGAGTTCAAGACTGATCCATGTCATGCTGTTGTGTTCTTGAGGAAGACACTTTACCCCACTTGTTCCAGACTACCTAGCTGTATGATTGGTACCTAGTTGTTAGCTGGGGTTATTCTGCAGTGGACTGGCGTCCTGTCTAGGAGGAATGGGTGACCATTCTCATCCGCTTCTGCCATTGGAAGTGGTATTTGAAAGTACTGGTGTTACGTGCCTTGTACTTTGCAAGGGTTTAACTTTTATTTCATTGTATTGTATTCAAACTAACTATGTAACAGCCATTAACCATTCACAAAGAAGATTTGTGGTTGACATTAAGAGTTTAATAAAATAAACAGAAATAGTAGAATTAAATGTGATCTGTTCTAAGAAGTTTCTTGGTTTTGCATAAAAAATTTTTGACTTCTACATTTTAGATGTGGAGTCAGTTGGTATGAAGATCATGTGTCATTAGACTGTCCAGAGTGTGGAGGCTATGCATTGCAACGGCCTTGTCCAGAGTGTGAGGGGCAGTGTGAGAGTAAGTGGAGACGTGATTTGGCATCTGTAAGTTATAACTTCTTATATTGATGAAATCCTTTGTTCTTGATTTTGGTTAAGCTGTCATGTATTCTTGCAATATTGTTGGCATGTAGTAAGACTATATAATGATCTGTTCATAACATTTTGAGCTTACTGGAAGACATTCCATTCTTCTCACATTACTACTCTGTCATTATTGTGTGACTGCTGTATATTTAATGATATTTTGAGTTTATATGACTGTTTAATATAACATTGGTCTATCTTGGCTGTCTAAACTAAACTAAAACTACTAAATAAATGAATTTTTAAAAAATCTTAAAGCTAGCCTTTATCATTCATACAGTTATGAAGCTTTCTCTTAAACTCACTTATTCCCAGCATTCTACACTTCAGAGTGAGGCTGTATTTTTAACAACATTCTGAGCATACAGCAAGCCTATAGTGTTCTCTTAACATTCTGGCTTACAGTGAGGTTGTACTGTTATTTTAAACAACATTTTTGGCTTGTAGTAAGACTGATTGGTATTTTCATAAGAATATGCTTATAGTAAAACTGATTGGTATTTTCATAAGAATATGCTTATAGTAAAACTGATTGGTATTTTCATAAGAATATGCTTATAGTAAAACTATTGGTCTTTTCATAACACTTTGGTGCTATACTGAGTAATGTTCACAGCGTTCTAGACCTAGTGATATAATGTTCTCTTTACAACATTCTGGGAATATGGTGAGCCTATAATATTCTCCTAAGATCATTGTGGGATCATGTTATTATATTAACAATTTTGAGGATTTAATGGGACCATAATGTTATCTTTGTTTTATTGCGAGTTTATAATAACACTGTATTTCTAATCAAGGTATTTTGAGCTTATGATGAAATTGTAATATTCTATTCATGATTTTCTGTACTTTACATCATGCTTAGCTCGTGTTATTCACTAGAATAGATCAACTCACATTTTAGTCCTTAGTGTTAGATTCATTCCAGTTACACTTCAGTTTTTATAGTTTGTTGAATCATTTGAATTTCATGCTATATCACAGAATGCATTTCTTTTACTTACATTTTCATTTCAGTCTTAGTGGTACTGAAGTCTGGTTTCGATTCAACTCTAGTCTTAAAGTCATGATTACTAAAGTTTCTTTAATCCTAAGCATCCACTCACAATCAGATGAACAAATGACTGAAAAGTGGTTGCTGTGAAAAGGAATAATATAGTTACATGCATACTCATGTACAGACGACAGCATGTGGACTGTTCTTTTTAGGTTTTCCTTAACCTACGTTTCAAATGTTTGAATAGTTGACCAAATATAACCTTTTATAACAAGGATATGAATATTTATAGATAATGTAGGATATGGGTGAAATTCCAAAAAAAAGATAGAAGTACCCAGCTGGGTGAAGTGGACCTGTTTTTGAAAAAGAAAAAAAAATCTATGTGTAAACATAAAACGACAAAGCTGCTCAAATAAGTCCTGTTACTAGTACCACCTTAAAAAATAAGTTTTGGTACTCAGTACCAGTTAGTACAGGCAGAATTCTGATGTGGGATAGCTTAAGTGACATGATACTGTCTTTGATGTATAAGAAGTTTGAATTCATTTTTGAGGTTTAAAAACCATTCTCACATTAAATTGTGAATAAGTTTTCTTGATTAGCCTTTTAATTTTATCTTTGACAGAATCTGTACATGTGGCTAGGTATTGTAAAACAAGAGTAACAGAACAATGTGGAACATTTAGCACTGTATGAATGGGGTTATTCACCTCCTTCAGAAACCTATTAAACACTATTAATAAAATGAGATAGAAACTCTTTTTTTTTTGTGTGTGTGTAAGAACCATCTGATGTTCATAAGTTCTTTTTGAAAAAGCTCTGAGTTAACTATTTTCCATTCTTCATGAATGATAATTTGTGCTAAATATTTCTTGAACACCTCTGGAATAAAGCTCTTAAAATGTGAGTTTAATCCAGAAAAAGTTTTCCTGTGAAAACAATCAACTTGAAAGATTCTACCGTAGTTAATGAATTTGTTATCCAAAAAAGATAACTGAGTTACTTTGTTCTTCAATGGTGAATTGAATACCGGTATATTGTTTATCCAGGTAATCAAAAAATTGTTTCAGTTTAACTTGTTCATTCAAAACCACAAATGTATTATTTATATATCTTCAGTATGATATATGTCTGAATTTTTCTGGACTATTTTCTATACACTTTTTTCTTTTGCACATATAAAAAAAAAAGAATTTCCTAAATGGAGTCAAATTTGATCCCATTGGTACCCGGTACTCTATTTGATCATTCATTATTAAAAGCAAATAGGACTAATTTGTGGTGAATTTTAGTAATTTTTGAATAACTGGTTTAGTTAACCTTTCAACATTTTCAATATTTTTAAAAACTTAATCAACCTTTAACTCAAATAATGTCAAATTTATTACAGTAAACTAGTTTATCAAGTTTTAGATTTTTTTGCAAATGAAGAGAATTCAAAACTGTCTATAACTGTATATTTATTATAAACACATTTATTCAAAAAAAAAACAACTAAAAATCTAGCTAGTTTATAATTAAAAGTACCAATGTCGGAAACTCTTGGCCTGACAGGGACATTTGTTTTATAATCTTTGGTAAGCCATATAATACACCATTGTGTGAGCCTACAGGTTTTATCTAACCTATATAAAAGCCAGTGTGTGTTATGTCGCACTTGATTTCTCGAAATAAGAGGAGTCATAAAAGCCAAAATGCATTTATCCAGATAGAATCGTGTGATTACTATCTGCCCATTTCGGCTTTAGTGACAGGGGTGCAAGGGGGACATGACAAGGATTATAAGTGTAGTGAGTGTTGGTATAATAAGTCTGAAGTAAAGACATAGTGTGGGATCACCTAGTCTAAAGCCAAGTGTATAAAATTTGTCATGAATGTAAAAATATCGATTCAGTTTTAAACTTAAATCATTTCTGAATTAAGCTATTTTCTGTTATATCACCAACATTTTGAATAAAAAATAAACCTCTTCAATCAACAGAGACTCTAAATTAAGAAACCAACAAATATTTCTCCAGTTTTGTTGTCTATGCATTTTATTTTATACTTTCAGTATATAGACTAAAAAACAATACTAGGTTATACTTTTGTTGCTAAGTAAAATGAAATAAAAGCCATTGGAACATAGTGTTACCAAAACACACTGGCTTTTCTATATATTAGATGTTGTTAATCTAACTGATTTTTACAAATAATTATTCTATGAATATGCCACAAGTTCATTTCATCAATGATCTTAATTTTGATTGGCTCACAAAGGAATTTATCAACATTTGACTGCCTCAACTGCACTTTTCGGCATCTTTGTTGGTCAAGTTTCATTTTGCAAAATTTATTTATTTCAGTTAGCTATCAAATGTGAAGTGGTAGTACTTATCCCGTCATTTTTGATGGGGCAAGTACTACCACCCCTACCCCATAGTAAGTCATATAACACACCATAGTGCAAGCCTACAGGTCTTATGTTATTTATTATAAGTCTTTCATTAATGGAGCTTTTTTTTCATCTTTAACAAAGACCTTCGTAAATTAGCTTCTCTTTGTTTTGTTGGGTCCTCTGTTAGTTTCTTAGATTTATTCAGGATTATGATGCAATTATATTTATCTGGTTTTACAATGATGATGATATCTTTTCTTTTTTTTTAAGTCTAAAGCTGCTGCTTTTTCTTTGGATATATTATTACAGTGTATTTTTGAGTATAACTGAAAACATTATAAAGGAAAACCTGAAATCAAAGCACAAATCTTTTGAAAGCTTATATCATTTAGCCAAATAGGGGACTCTTCTAAATTTCTTAAGAATAATTCCTTGGTGGGGAAAAAAGTGTAACAACCCTACCTTTTTTTGGGTGGAATAGAGAATTTTAAACTCCTGGCTAGAACTTGATTAGGTTCTTCGATAAAGGTCAACACATTACACTGAAAATGTTTTAATCTGAAGTTGAGTTAACCTTGTTATAAATAATATCTTATTAAATTTATCATCACTTGGATGACTTAAATGTGTAAGTTCTAGAAAAGTTGTTCCCCAGTGTAACAGCAGTAAATGTATGGACTAGCTTACAATGCTAAAATTCAGGGTTCAATGTGGTTTAACTCTAAACAAACAGACATCTAGAAAAATTACATTGTTTATTAAGGAAACTAATTCTATTTTACAATAGGATTATAGTTTGTGTTGTAATGCAAATTTTATATTAATCTCAACATTCAGAAAACTATTATACAACAGTATATTGTTTTCTGTTTCATATTATTTTGGAATGAATTCTAAACTTTAAAAAATTAGGGATGACATTGATTTGTTTATATTCTTTCAGAAAATTTAAAGGACACTGTTTCTGTGCAGTTTGCTCATTTCATGTTTGAAACTTATAATGTCTTGTTTTCTTCCAAAATAAAAAGCATTAGAATATTACAATACACTTATTTTGGAATTGTATTGAAAATTTGTCTTACATTATTGTTTGGAAGTTTTTTCTTTATACATTTTTTTATGAACATTTCCACAATACCTTCAAAAGTGGCTTTATTTTGTAAAACAACTCTACTAACTGTAGTTGATGATTTTTAGTTTTTGGAATTTCAAACGTTTGTGTCACTTAGCAAAATGTTGAATGTTTTGGTATATCATCCTAAATTTTGTACCTTGAAGCTAATACCAAACTGAGCTATTTTTAGTATTTTCATGTTGCACAATCATAAAAGTTAAGAATTTGATTTTGTATCCTCTTCTTGTTTTAGTCTCATAAAACCAGACAGGCAAAATGGGAAGGTGAATGTAAAAGCAAGTGGATTCACAAGAACAATCAGCAACTGTTTAGTGATTTTAACCATAATGATGGCATCAAAATCTTGAATAATTTTACAAAGAACCTGCAAACCAATATATATGAGTGAATTTTCTAGGAGTCCAGCTTAATCAGATGTTTCTCTTGTAAATAACTACATGCTCTAAGACTTGAATTGCTTTCTGGCTTCTCTTAAGCAAAAGGGAAGATGTAAAATATATAAAAAACATAATATTCTAAATTAGAATATATTAACATTTATTTACTATTTTTGAGATAGATACTGTTAAAGTTTATTTTAGTACAACACTTCAAGAAAATTATTTAAGCTATTTTGGATTTTTTTTTTAATATGGTTCAGTTTTTTGTTATTATTATTATCAGTCATTTTTCTAGAGCAATGTGTGTGTGTGTGAAAAGAATTGCTTAGTTATTATGAATATTTAATGATGTTTATTGTTACTGTGGGGTAGGAAGGAGTTGCAGAGTGGGGGTGCTTGCTAGACATTGCTAATACAATTTACAGTTGCTTTATATATTAAGTCAAATTTGTAAAGTGGGAGTGCTACCCCCCCATTTCCAATACCCCTGTGTTATTTATGGTTCTAAACTGTTTCTTAGATTTCATGCTATAGTACTTGGGTATTATGTAACAAAACTCGTATCCTTTCTTTTTTACCTAAGTGTTCTTCATTTACCAAACTGTCCTTTATTTAACCAGTTTCATAGTGTCACAAACTCCTCTTCAGTATGTAAACTTTACAAAACCAGGAAACAACTAAACACTTTTTGAAAAGTAATAAAATTTAAGTTTAAAATGTATGTAAAATATACACATTTTGTTTTTCAAATCAAGTTTTATCTTTTTTTTTAATTTTTTAAACTCAGGTTACAAAATAAATTCTTATTACTAACAACATAAATTCAAAAACTAATTAAACAAGTTGTTTAATCAAGATAAACATTTAAATATATCTAATGGTAATGATAAATTTTCTGTATTACAATACACAGATTCCATGGACTACAGATGTTATTTATCGTGAAAATTTTTAATTTCTTTGAAGTCATCCACAGTATATTTAGGTAAATCTAACATATGTGCCAAAAAGCTCTGTTTATTAAACATCTCACCTCTTATTGGCTTACAATTAAAATTTAAAGAAGCATTAAAATGATCATTAAAGTATTTTTCATAGCTTAATCTTTTTTTTATTAATATTCAAAAGGGATACTGGGAAAAGACTTGCAAACCTAGAATTTTTTGACAGTTTCCATTTACAGTTATGTGTACACTTCAGTGGAGTTTTTTGTTCTTATGTCGTAAACTTAAGAAATCTAAAGTATAAACTTACTTACAAATTCTATTTTTCAATGGAGCTCATAAAGTGTTATGAAATACTGATCACCCAACCTGGACATGTTCCTATAAAGAGGCAAAGTATAACCAGAAAGATCAAACCTAACTGACTTACTAAAGACATAAAGGATAAATATCATAGCTTAAGAAGTTTATATTGAAAGATTGGTTGGAGGACTTGCAAAATTATAGAAGACTAGGGATTTGCTTAAAAAAGAAATTTGGATTGAAAAGTGCTTACGAGAAAAAGCTAATTGATAATTATAGAATTGAATAAAAACAAGACAATTGTATGTTTCACAAATACATCATTTATTCATGACCATGGTTTTGCCAGTAAAGGCATCATCAGGTTTCAAGTATCAATTACACTAATTGATAATGTTAAAACTAACACCAATAATTTTTGACATAAATTAAAAGTAATCAAAGTGGGACAATTTCATGGATTTTTACCATGATACATATATATATATATATATTAACTATTAGTCTTAAAATTATTAGTTTTTCCATCATGCAATTCTCCACATGTTTAACATTTTGAAACGTTTTTGGCACTAAAATCAAAAGAACCTTTCATCTTAAATAATTTCTGCCCTTTGATCCAACAAATAAATTTCCTAGTTCACAATATATCTCTGTACACATCAAATAACTTTTTCTATTACACGGTGCAATGCCTCTTTCATTCTTTATATTAGAATTTTTGAAATGTTAACAACTTGCATAAATTTGAAAGTTGCCATTTCACTCAAATTATTTTACAATTTTCCAAAACATCCTTTAATTCCTTACCTACAACTTCATAAGTTTGTTTTTGAATAAAATTGATATTAATCAACATCTCTGAACAATGAATTGTGACAAGCAGTGTAATATTTTCCTTATTATCGTTATACTTAATATTTTTCTCCTTTTGACCATTTCACCAAATTAAAACCTCTATCAATAATTTTCTCTTGATAGTGAAATTCTGTCAAAATTATTTCAGTTCTTTTAATCTAAGTTATCGTAACTTTTATTTCATGTAATAAAACAGCCATCAAAAAAATAATTTCATGTTACCTCCAAATAATTAATGTAGTTAATATCAAAATAGTTTGGAAAAAGATCAAACATTTTACTTTCCAGTAACCATATTAATAATGTTGCACTACTTGGTGCAACTGTAGTGCCTGTAGCACTTCTTGAACTAAATGAACCTAGACATTTCCAAATAACATTCTTATGACACATCTTGTTAATACAATCCATATAATTATCAAAGTAAAATTACACTGCTTTCAGTCCAATATCATATGAAATACTCGGGTATAGAGCAACATCAAATGACACTAAAAGATGATTTGTTTCCACTTTTGTAGGTAACTGACTTACATAATCTTTGCCATCTTTGATATAACTTTTCATCTTTGAAATAAAAATGTTTGAAAATTATAGCCAATAAATGACTCAATGATTCAGTAATTATATTTTTGCTTCCTACAATAGGATGACTTAACACAGTTAAAAGGTTTGTAAACCATAGTTATTCTGATATTTCTCTAAGTATTCTTTCAGTATTTTACACTTTTTCACTTGTCGTAACAAATAAAAAAATAAAATTTTCCCAAAATTTTATTTTGACTGAAAATAAATTTTGTTAACTGCTCATTAAAATAAACTTCCAAAACTTGATGCATATTCTATCAATTTTGCTTTTATATTCTGTATACATAAAAGTTCACATCTTTATTATACATTTTCTCATAATTATACCATTTTAAGGTGTTCTTATGGCATATTCCTATAATAACTGGTTTTCATTACAACCAACACTATTCTTACCACCCCCCAGTGGTATGTCTGCAGACTTACAGTGCTAAAAACTGGGTTTCAAAACCCGTGGTGAGCAGAGCACAGATAGCCCTTTGTGTATCTTACTGCTTAACTACAAACAAACACTATTCCTACCACTCTTTTGAATATTCTATCATCTCGATTTATTCAAAGCTTTTCTTTCTCCCACAGAAATATTATTTTTTGCCACCTTATAACAAACACAAAATGTTCTTATATCCCTACAAATCATATCTAATTCTGGATTGAATATCTCAAATGACTCGAAAGTTGATTTCAGTTTAATGAGAAATTCATCCTCTTTATTTTCATAAAAAAGTTTCAGTGTTAGCCTTCTAGTAAATATAGATCTTCGTTAATGTAAGTATCATCAGTTCTGTTACTTAATGTGAAGTTAATTTCTCATTTTATCACAGTCATCAAATGTTAACTAAACCACTGTGGTGTCAATGTTGGTGTAGAATTATAATTATTTTCAAACAGGTTTATGAAAATCATTAAAATTAATAACTCAATTTGCATGCAACAAATATTTTACATAAATATTTTGGGGTTTATAAAACTAAGGAAAGTTTAAAGTAATATGAAGAATTTGAACAATCATTGTTTATCAGAGCAGAGCTAAACTTGGATCTTAAATATCCATGTATATTCTACACTTTCTATAAAGTAATAAAGCTATGATATTAATTGTATTATGATTTCATCCCTATATAGTATGCAAGTCAGAGAAAAACAAAAATGTTATTAATGTCTGAGAAATTAAATTGTACAGAAAAATGTGTTGTTTGCATACCAGAAAATATCTGCTGATTACTGTAGTTGCACAAATATTTGTATTTGAAATAATTTACATAGAAAGCAAAACAAATGGCAGAAGGGCCAACAATATTTTTGTAACCTTACTCCACAATAATAATTCTGATGTAGTTTAAAAGAATTACACATTATTCCACAAGTACTCTAGTAGTTTTCTTAAACATCTTATTTACACAATGTGTATTCTTATAACATGTTGGGCTGATATAAATCTAATTGACTGGACTCAAATCCGTTAGCATACATTTACCTTAAATGAATCTGAAATGCTATTGAATCATTGTATATTACTTTTAAAAATTGACTTTAGATCATCAATGATCTTTGTGTTTTTGCACACATTTTTATGAAACCTCACTTTATTAAACCCTAAATATTAGGCAGTTCAGTTGTAAATAATTTAATAATATCCTTTTTTGTTTTAAAGTGTATATGGACTATTAGCCACATACCCACTTTGTGTCATTGAGGTTGTGGCAGAACTATTTATAATTTTTTACACTGTATTTTAAGATATTGTATTCAATTAATGTTGTTCTATTGTTCTTTAATTAAGTAATAACTTCAGCTTCCTAACATCATCAAATATTCAAAATTGGTAAAATATTTTATATTAATGTTATGGCAAGGTTTTGTCTGCTTAAAACCAAAGTTTATAAAGGTATTTTATTACACTTTTACATGAATATTAAAGTATTTCAAAATCTGTTACACTGATTTAATTGTAATTTTGTTTATATAACAAGAAAATATTCTTATAAAGGTTAACTAAAAAAAACCCTGTTTGGATGGATATTTGAATATTCGTTTGTATACTTGTATATATTAAGAACATTGAGTTTCTACTGAACTAATGACAAACCTAGTCTCATGGCCTCATATCTTTATAATTGAAAACTTAGGATATCAGTTCAAATCATATTCAAAAGGAAAAATATGTTTTTTGTCAGTGTATTAATATTTAGATGTATTTCAATCCAATTAATGCAGCGAAACAAAATATCCAAATTACAAGCCATTTATTTTCAACTCAAAAATATAGAGCAAAGTAAGAGAATTTCCAATACATATCTATGGACTAAGTACAGCAAGGCTTTCACATTACAGAGCAGATAAACATGCTTGTTGAACTGGAATAATAAGTTTGGATGTGGGACAAACATGCATTAAAAAAAAATAAAATTGCTTTCAATCCAAAATAAGTATGTTCAGGGTGATCAAATGCCCAGAATGTTTGACACCAGGAAAA